CAAACATCTTTTGGACACTGGACACAACCTAGCCAACGACCACTCCTTTAAAGTCTTACATACGTGTAATAAAGGGCTGCGGCTGTGTGTGCTGGAACAGTTAGAGATATTAAAAAGTAATAATAATACCGTTGCATTGCTGAATGAACAAACAAATGTTACTAACTCACCTCTCTTAAATATCTTCAAGCCTGCTCTCTAATAATGTGGGCGTTGCGCGGCGGTTTGTTTTTAATTTTACAAACGGCTGCGTAAGTCCAGCGGTGATTGGTCGCATGTTTTATCGCATGACGCAATCGCTCGCTCGTTAGGTAGAGAGCGGTTGCATCATCGGTTTGTATAAAAGGCACTTGTTTTGGCTCGCCGCTCACTTAGCGGTTAGCCACCGTAGAGTCTATTTCACCTGAGGATGCCTCGTGTAGAGGCGAAACACGTGTCGTATTATCGTTAGTGGTGTGTCTTGCCTAGTGTAGTGGTGTTGGAAGTAGCGGTGCTGGGATTAGTGGTGACGGGGATAGTGCACGAAATTGAGGGAGGGCGGGAGGTGCTTCTTCATACTAGGTAAGACACATCATTTTATTTTATAACGCGGATATTTGCGAAGTAAATTTTTGTAAAAGCTTTTATATAATGGATTTCCGCAAAGTAACGCCTGATTCTATTAATTATATAGGCATTTTTATCCCAAAATCTGACTATATAGAAGATCTTCTTAATGGGAAGAAAGTATCATAATATTATTCCCATTTCTTGAGTGTTCCTGTTGCCATTCTCGTTACAGAGTATAAAGTGGATACGAAAGCTCAAAGAAAATACTGATACAAAATTTCCAAAATCTACCCAAATATAAAAATTATACGTGGTTGAGCCATGCTACAGCTATATTAATAGTATATTTGTAGCACGATTGGGTCGGCTCGACACGGGTAGGACCACGCTCTCACAGATACCAGCGTAAAATAGCAACTTAATGCTGCTGTATTTCGTTTGGTCAGTGTAGAGAACCGGATACCCCTTTTACTGGAAAAGAGGCATTCCATCTTAAGCCTCACGGTTGACAATGTATCTGCATTTTATTCGCAAACGAGGATAAAGGTAGATGTCTATAGGCCACAGAGGCACAAGAGAGGGCAAACGAACATAAGGCTCACCTTATGGTAAGTGACTACCGCCGCTCAACAACCAGGGGAATTGCAGATGCGTTGCCGGCCATTTAGAAAGGTGTAAGCTCTTTTCTTGAAGGTCCCTAAGTCGTATCGGTCCGGAAAAATCGCCGGTGGTAAACAATTCCACGGAGAAGTTGTATGAGGAAGAAAACTCCTAGTCGTGGACCACCAAGCATCCAGATGGTGAGGATGGTATTGTGAATTTTAACGCGATGTGCGTTCGTGAAATTTGGCGGCTGGAATTAATCTGCACAATTCCTCAGAGCACTCCCCGTGGTAGATGCGAAAGAAAATGCAAAGGGATGCAACATCCCTACGCAGCGCCAGTGTATCGAGTAGATCAGAAAGAACTCGGTCGTCGACGATTCGAACCGCTCTGCGCTGGATGCTGTCAAGTGGAAGGAGCTGGCACTAGGGTGCCCCGGCCCAGAGGTGAGAACAGTATTGCCGGCATGAAATACTGTCTCGCTCTGCTAAGCACGCCAAGCTTTTTAGAGGCCAATTTGGCCTTCCCTTCCAAGTGACCACGAAACTGCACACTATTCGATATGTCGATGCAGAGGATTCCGATGCTAGCTGAGGCAGCAAGGGGAGTGCCTTGAAACTGAGGAGATACGACAAAGGGGTTCTTTTTAGCGGTAAACGCGCAAATTTGTGTCTTCTGAGGATTGAACTTAACTAGATTTAGTCGCCCCCAATCTGAGACGTTGTTCAACAAAGATTCTTCCAAACTAACGGCGAATGCCTCCTCCTTGGACTCTAATGCCTCCACCCAACTATGAGTCGGATAGACCAGAAGATCACCAGCTGATCAACCTTGATGAAAACCGTATTGGCAGTCACTAATCAACTGGTGATCCTCGAGGTACCTCATGAGCTGGCAGTTTATAATAGACTCCACTATTTTGGAAAACAAGGTGATGGCGGATCTGAGCGGTCGCCTTTTTTAGGGATCGGGTGTACCTAAGCTATCTTCCATGAATTCGGGGCTGCTCCTTGGGAGTAGGAGTACCGAAAAACACGCTTTAAAACCGGTGTCAACTGCGGAGCACACGTCTTCAGCACAATGAGAGGGACTCCATCAGGCCCACTCGATTTGCTGACGTCCAGGGAAAAGAGTGCTTTGCGAACGGAGCGCTATGTAAACCGCACATTCGGCACGGAGCACTCACACCGCGGGATGGTCGGCGGTGTGTTCCCCCGTCATCTAGAGTCGAGTTGGACGCAAAGAGAGAGCCTAACAGATCGGCTTTCTCCTTTACGGCACAGGCCAGTCTTAGTTAGAGACCAGAATGCACGGGTTCCCGAAGGAAGGTGAACTAGCTTCTCGACAATTCTGCCGATCGTGCTCAGACCTTGCCTTTGCAATGACTCTTATAGCGTGATGCTATTTTACAGGAGCGCCTAAACCATGGCTGGGATTTCCCTCCGATGGGCACCACAGAGGATGGAACAAACAATTCCATACCCTGAAATACCACATCAGCAACAGAATCAGCAACAATGTTGGGATCTTCCGGCGAGAAACAAATCCATCCAAGGGTAGGATGCAAAAAAGGCCGCAATCTATCCCAATCGGTCGACCTATAGTGGTTTGGCACTATAGGTCGACTTTGACACGGCGGCAGCGTGCAGAATGCAACCGCGACGTTAGTGTGAGTGGCACCACACTCCGGACAAGACAATGGTCCGACGAGCCTAAAGGAGCGTCGACGGAAACCTGATAACCGTCCGGATGAGAGGCGAGCAGAAGGTCTAACAGGGAAGGTGTATGACCCTCCACGTCTGGAATCCGCGTAGGCGAAGTAAGTAGCTGTGTAAGACCATATGCCAAAGCAGTCATAAACAGATCTCCCCGCATGATCGGTTGAACGTGAACAAAGCCATTAGGCGTGGTGGGCGTTAAAATCGCCAAAGATCACGATCTCTGCGGATGGGATCTGCTGTAACAAGGAATTTGTAGCCATTTGGACGAGGTCGATGAGTAGGTTTGTTTCGACATTACCGCTCTGGGACCTATAAAGGCACCCGTAGACGCGGGGATGGTCATCGCTGTCTACGCGCAGCCATAGGATGGACAGGTCCGTAACTTCAAGCCTGCCGAGGCGTCAAAAACAGATGTCCTTTTTGACGTATACGCAAACTCTAGCTCGGGGCACAAAGGAGCGTTCTAATTTGTACCCCGGGTAGGAGAGATATGAAGTATCAGCCGGAGAGGACACGGTTAAAGAGCAAGGCCGGCTTCGCCGTCTCTAGTTGCAGAAACCGTGACAGGGACAGGGGGTTGCCCCGAGCAGTATTAGTCACGAGCGGAATTTTGCAGTCTTTTGAAAAAGTCTGATTTACTCGACATATTTTATTTTAGTGACCCCCTCCAAAATTTCAGGCTGCGCCGCGCCTGTACCTAAGTGACCCACCGAAGTGGCAACAAGTTTGACAGATGTCGACGGCGTCATCCTTCAAGATGTAGGTATCTGCGTTAGTTGTTCGTCTTAATAACCTGATCATGTATCGCAGACAAAACCCTCAGTTTACCCAAAGAGGTCACCGAACCGTAGCCATTGGTGAAGCGACCGTATTTACGAAAGGCTCATGTCTGTCTTGTAGAACCTCCCATAGAGCTCCTTCTCTTTCTATACGTTGGCAAGGGATAGAGGAGTAAGCACTTTATCACACGAAGTGACGTCCGTGTAGAATGGATCATCCGATCTCATCAAGAAGTACTTACAGGGGCAGCACACTTCGCGATTGTGCATGTTGAGGGCGCTCAAAAAGTCACGCCCACCATGTTTCTGCGGCAAATACATTCTAATAAATGTTTATTATTAAACTTCCTTCTTTCGGGCTTTCTGTTCAATAAAATGACATCATCTAAGTTCAAATTTCGGTTCAATGTTCGTTGGATAGAATAGCTAAGTTGCGTAAACTTTTTTGTCCCATACAATTTCTTAAGAAGTTTTTATCAATTTCAATTTTGAAAATGATCGCTCGGCACTGGCCATAGTCACAAAAATGGTTATCAATAAAAAATTTGCAGTGCGCACTTCAAGAAAACTTAAAGAAATAAAATAATTCTTTATGGTTAATAAATCAGAAAGTTCTCCTATAGAAGATAAAGTTTCTATTTCGTGTCTAAAAGCGGATCAAATACTGAGTATTTTTTCCTTGGTAAACGAAATATTCTGTCTTCTTTTATATAAATCGACAAATACTAAAGCCTTTTCCAATAACTCGGTATCATTACAATTTTGTAAAGTGGAAGTGGTAAAGACACTGAAGGCAACGCGATTCCAGTTGTTTGACGATGATGTCTAATGCATGATAGAACATGTTTACTCTAAACAAACTTTCAGGATCTTGGAGATCTTTCTGAACGTGTTTTAGAAAATTCCGGGTTTATAGACCATAGTTTTTTGCTATATTATTTGTTTAAGTTTTTAAATCTCCAAATTTATTTCGATATTTTTCAAGGGTTTCCACCAGGCAGACTTGCAAGCGCTTTGAAGCATTTCAAAGATCGGTGAATTTAGATTGAAGTGCTTTATAGGCTGCATCGATAGTCTGTAAAATTTTGCAATGGAAAACCAGTAACATTAATGAAATTGTAGTTTTCGACCTTCTTCTTCAGTAAAATGGCTTCATTTCTTTCATCTGCTTCAATCAAAACGAGAAGTCAAAAAAAGAAAGTTAAAAGCCAATTATATTTGAAAAGCACCTGAGGAATAAATTCCATCAAAATAAATCTTTAGGTTTGGAATAAACTTACCTTTGTCCCTGCTATATGATCTAATGATAAAAACGCAATTAAAATGAAAATGGATTTTATTTAAACATTCAACACGACGTAAGTGACTGCACGTATTTACTGTTCTGCTGCAGTAATTCTTGTTTTAATTTATTTATCTCAGTTATCATATTTTCATCCGAATCGATCGTTTCTTGTATCCGCTTGCATTTACGTAAGAAATCCAATATTATTTTTTGGCCTTCTATAGTTTCTTGCGATTCCACAGACGCTTCCACTTCAAATAGATTTGTTTCGAGTTGAGCTTGTTTCTCCTCAGCATACTAGAAGACATATAAGCATTATATCATTACATAACATCATTCTATCCGTTTATTTAACCGGCTGATCAAACTACTTGACTACAGCATATGTTTTTAAGAGGTCTCATTCCACTAATGGGTGAAGTTCTTTTTTTATTTTTGAAAAACTCTCTTAAGGCAGATTTGGGATGGTTTTAGGGTTACATTGGACAAACAGCTCTCCTTGAACGCAGAGTAGTTGGTAAGTCAGTTTTAAAAATAAGGTAGCCCAAGGACTAATTATAGTACAAACATACAACTTTCCACCGCTAGGCGCAGCCTTCCTTACATTTCTGAAAAGATTTTGGAGCATGTAACAATTCACCACGCTTCTCCAAAGCGTCATTCAGTGTTTACATTGTTTGTTTCAACGCTGAGCATTATAAGAGTGTTTTAAAATTACAGTTTTTTACGTGGTAGAGCCATGCTGCAGCTATATTAGTAGTATAGTTGTAGCACGAATGAGTCGGCTCGACCGGGGAAGGACCACGCTCTCACAGAATACCAGCGTAAAATAGCAGATTAAAACTGCTGTTTCGTTTGGTGAGTGTAGAGAACCGGAGATCCTTTTTACTGGAAAAGAGGCATTCCATCTTAGTCCTCAAGGGTGACAACTAATCTGCATTTTGATTCACAAACGAGGATAGATGTAGATGTCTATGGGCCACAGCAACCACTTACCATCAGGTGGACTGTGTGTTCGTTTGTCACCCTATCCTATAAAAAAATAACGATTTCGTTGGTGCTGCTTGGGTATCGAGCTCGATTTGCTGACGTACTGTACAATTTTAAAGCGATCATATATTTCACGAGGTATACATACAACGATTATTTAATAGCGGAGGACATATTTTTTATTACGCTTATTCAACGGTTAAAGAAAACATTGATAGGCATAATTTTTAATAATAAAATATGATTCATAATACATCAAGGATCCATGAAGTACCATAACTCGCACTCTAATGTTGTAAAATGAAACAAAAAAAAAACTAATGGGATGATTTAAGTCGTGACATTAATATGTCAATACCTAACCGCTCGCGTATTATGAAATTTAAATTATGCGCCTGAGCTCATATTATAATAATAATAATTCATTTATTTCAGACCAATTATCCATATTTGTTAAAAAATTATAATCTAAATACCTATATTTTAGGCTCCCCAAATTAATGCAGTGAGCCGTAAAATGTTTGCAGCTTATGGTTCACTCTGGAGGCTTAATTACTTTTTACACATTGCCACCAAAATTACGCTTGCACAATCTTTACTACTCCCTATCCTCGACTATGCTGACATTTGTTACTTTGATATCACCGAGGAGCAACTTAACAAGCTTGAGCGACTCCAAAATCTGTGTATACGGTTCATATTTGGGCTTCGCAAATATGACCATGTCTCAGAATACCACACTAAGCTCAAGCGGCGCCCAATCCGTCTTTGTCGGAATACTCATATACATTCTGCTCTCTACTGCGTCTTATTTAATATATCAAGTCCTTCCTATCTAAAAGAACGTTTTAAATTTATCAGCTCCTGTCATAATTTTTCCTTACGATCCAAAGAAAATCTTTCCTTCCAATGTCCTGTGCACTCCTCCACTTATTATGATAAATCATTCTCTGTTCTTGGAGTAAAGCTTTGGAACTTTCAGACTCCTCAGTCAATTAGAAGTGCTCAATCCTTAAATGTGTTCCAGAAACAGATTAAGGAATACTATGTCTCTCTAACCCCTCTCACTTCCTCCGCTTAATTATGGTCATTGATCTACCTGAAGTATGTTGTCTTTTTAATACATAAGTTTGTAATTTGTATCTTTATTTTATTTTTATCTGTTTTTATTTTTTATTTTAGTGCACCCTACCTATTGTTCTTTTTCTTATTTTTATTTATTTCTTCTTCTGAGTCAGGGGTTTGATATTTTTATCTTTTCTTGGTATTCAATAAAGAGTATTGTACTGTTTGTATTGTAAAGAAATAAAATAAATCATTACTTCAATTAATTAATAGCTAACTATTATTAATTAATCAAAGTAATGACTGTATTGCGTGTGCGATATTACCCATGCGCGCAGCTATCCCCTACACGTTTCGTTCAGCGCTAGACTTACGTGCCGCGACTTACAGTATTCGTTAATAAATAGTATTGCTAAACAAAGGATGCCACCGTGGTCAAAAAGTTAAGATAATAACACTTGACTCTTAGTCGGCTTGTCGTGAAAAACCCTGCATTTCTAAAGAAATTTCGAGAACATCTAGACTGTTAAAACGCATCGGGGCAGTGCGACGGACTTGCCATGCCAAATAATTCTGTCCTAAAAATGAGACTTGGCCTGGACCTACAAATGGAATGTATGTAGGTTGTTGCTTCCACGACACGCCACTGCTTTACCACGACTTCTAAACATTGAAAAAAAAAATACTTATATTATAAATTGCTTTCTTTAGTAATTAAATTTACTTTACTTACTGTACTTTAATTTCAAGTAATTAATTATCAAGGACTGCACTGAACGAGAACTTGAAGTAATCTGCTTAAACCCCTTCTCTACCCATTTTTGCAAACCTTTCGGGTGGAGTCTTGTAAGCCCCAGCTGTGAGATCTATATATACGAGTACACTTTTAACATAACATTATTAATATTTACCTTTATAATAGATTCAGGTAAATCCGCCAATTTGGCCACGTGAAGTCCCAGAGAGTGAGTAGCGGGTCCTGGGACGATTTTGTGAAGAAGAACCAATTGATCATTAACTACTGACGCCTCCGCATGAGAATTCACTATGATCCCTGGATGTAGGCTGGGAAGGCGGGTAAGTTCATGATAGTGCGTTGCGAAAAGGCAAAAGCATTTCGCCTCCGTTGCTAACTTCCTGTTGATATATAATAACAAAATTAACAAAATAGTTTTCATAGATTTTATGGTATTGAGAAGTCAGATTATGAAATAAGCTTCAAAATAGCACCTTAACTTATTAATGATATACTTTATTATTTATAGAAATACCATTATATAAAAATATATAAAAAAAACTTACTCAGCAATGGCCCAAGCTATGCCACAACCTTCGTATGTTGACGTTCCTCGTCCTAATTCATCAATTAACACCAGAGAGTCAGGAGTGGCAGCCTAAAATACAAAGAAAATTAGCTATATTATAATAAAATATATAGTTACAATAAACAATATAATTCCTGGGTGGGCTGGGGTCCATACTACCACATCGTCCTAAGCGTGTCGAAGAAGGCGACTATAGAACATGTCACAGAGGTTTCATGGCATCATTAAACACAATACTGAGCAAAAGAGACCGGCGACGGGCGACAGGGTCAAAGGTGCGTCTAGTATGGTTTAGTATATCTGACCACGTACCCGCAGTATATAGCCGCGATCTCTAACATATGCGGTTTCTAGCGTGAAGGTACTCGATGACCTTATATAGTATTGTGATTACGTGCATAACTATGGAGAGGTCTTCAGAGACTATATGATCAGTAAGCTGAAATAGCGATCCCATTTGATCTCTCTCTCTCTCTCTCTCTCTCTCTCTCTAATTTATTTTTTAAAAAACGTTACCCCCTACACTAGGATTTACTCCTGTATCGTGGAGGCAGTTTACAAACATAGATTGCACGAGGACAAACATCCAGGACCTGGAAAAATTAACAATTAGCCATACAAATACTTGTTCCGTGCGGGACTCGAACCCACGACCAACAGCGCAACAACTCATTGCTAAGCCACTGCGCCACGGTGATCGAGTATAATATAAAAATATTTTAAAAATATTGTCACTGGCGCGTGCGCACGTCCCGCTGGCGCGCGCGCACGTCCCGCAGGCGCGACCTCTAGACTGTAAGTGCCCTGTGGCACAGTGTGCGTGTGTACTCGCCCGCAGTATAGCCGCGGTCCTCGAGCATCTCCAGCATGAAGGTGCTCTGTCCTTGCTGCTCGCGGTCCGCGGCGCCGAGGGGCGCGCGCGCACGGCCCGCAGGCGCGGCCTCTAGACTGTAAGTGCCCTGTGGCACAGTGTGCGTGTGTACTCGCCCGCAGTATAGCCGCGGTCTCGAGCATCTCCAGCATGAAGGTGCTCTGTCCTTGCTGCTCGCGGTCCGCGGCGCCGAGGCGCGCGCGCACGGCCCGCAGGCGCGGCCTCTAGACTGTAAGTGCCCTGTGGCACAGTGTGCGTGTGTACTCGCCCGCAGTATAGCCGCGGTCTCGAGCATCTCCAGCATGAAGGTGCTCTGTCCCTTGCTGCTCGCGGTCCGCGGCGCCGAGGCGCGCGCGCACGGCCCGCAGGCGCGGCCTCTAGACTGTAAGTGCCCTGTGGCACAGTGTGCGTGTGTACTCGCCCGCAGTATAGCCGCGGTCTCGAGCATCTCCAGCATGAAGGTGCTCTGTCCTTGCTGCTCGCGGTCCGCGGCGCCGAGGCGCGCGCGCACGGCCCGCAGGCGCGGCCTCTAGACTGTAAGTGCCCTGTGGCACAGTGTGCGTGTGTACTCGCCCCGCAGTATAGCCGCGGTCTCGAGCATCTCCAGCATGAAGGTGCTCTGTCCTTGCTGCTCGCGCGGTCCGCGGCGCCGAGGCGCGCGCGCACGGCCCGCAGGCGCGGCCTCTAGACTGTAAAGTGCCCTGTGGCCACAGTGTGCGTGTGTACTCGCCCGCAGTATAGCCGCGGTCTCGAGCATCTCCAGCATGAAGGTGCTCTGTCCCTTGCTGCTCGCGGTCCGCGGCGCCGAGGCGCGCGCGCACGGCCCGCAGGCGCGGGCCTCTAGACTGTAAGTGCCCTGTGGCACAGTGTGCGTGTGTACTCGCCCGCAGTATAGCCGCGGTCTCGAGCATCTCCAGCATGAAGGTGCTCTGTCCTTGCTGCTCGCGGTCCGCGGCGCCGAGGCGCGCGCGCACGGCCCGCAGGCGCGGCCTCTAGACTGTAAGTGCCCTGTGGCACAGTGTGCGTGTGTACTCGCCCGCAGTATAGCCGCGGTCTCGAGCGTCTCGCTCAGCATGAAGGTGCTCTGTCCCTTGCTGCTCGCGGTCCGCCGGCGCCGAGGCGCGCGCGCACGGCCCGCAGGCGCGGCCTCTAGACTGTAAGTGCCCTGTGGCACAGTGTGCGTGTGTACTCGCCCGCAGTATAGCCGCGGTCTCGAGCGTCTCCAGCATGAAGGTGCTCTGTCCTTGCTGCTCGCGGTCCGCGGCGCCGAGGCGCGCGCGCACGGCCCGCAGGCGCGGCCTCTAGACTGTAAGTGCCCTGTGGGCACAGTGTGCGTGTGTACTCGCCCGCAGTATAGCCGCGGTCTCGAGCATCTCCAGCATGAAGGTGCTCTGTCCTTGCTGCTCGCGCGGTCCGCGGCGCCGAGGCGCGCGCGCACGGCCCGCAGGCGCGGCCTCTAGACTGTAAGTGCCCTGTGGCACAGTGTGCGTGTGTACTCGCCCGCAGTATAGCCGCGGTCTCGAGCATCTCCAGCATGAAGGTGCTCTGTCCTTGCTGCTCGCGGTCCGCGGCGCCGAGGCGCGCGCGCACGGCCCGCAGGCGCGGCCTCTAGACTGTAAGTGCCCTGTGGCACAGTGTGCGTGTGTACTCGCCCGCAGTATAGCCGCGGTCTCGAGCATCTCCAGCATGAAGGTGCTCTGTCCTTGCTGCTCGCGGTCCGCGGCGCCGAGGCGCGCGCGCACGGCCCGCAGGCGCGGCCTCTAGACTGTAAGTGCCCTGTGGCACAGTGTGCGTGTGTACTCGCCCGCAGTATAGCCGCGGTCTCGAGCATCTCCAGCATGAAGGTGCTCTGTCCTTGCTGCTCGCGGTCCGCGGCGCCGAGGCGCGCGCGCACGGCCCGCAGGCGCGGCCTCTAGACTGTAAGTGCCCTGTGGCACAGTGTGCGTGTGTACTCGCCCGCAGTATAGCCGCGGTCTCGAGCATCTCCAGCATGAAGGTGCTCTGTCCTTGCTGCTCGCGGTCCGCGGCGCCGAGGCGCGCGCGCACGGCCCGCAGGCGCGGCCTCTAGACTGTAAGTGCCCTGTGGCACAGTGTGCGTGTGTACTCGCCCGCAGTATAGCCGCGGTCTCGAGCATCTCCAGCATGAAGGTGCTCTGTCCTTGCTGCTCGCGGTCCGCGGCGCCGAGGCGCGCGCGCACGGCCCGCAGGCGCGGCCTCTAGACTGTAAGTGCCCTGTGGCACAGTGTGCGTGTGTACTCGCCCGCAGTATAGCCGCGGTCTCGAGCATCTCCAGCATGAAGGTGCTCTGTCCTTGCTGCTCGCGGTCCGCGGCGCCGAGGCGCGCGCGCACGGCCCGCAGGCGCGGCCTCTAGACTGTAAGTGCCCTGTGGCACAGTGTGCGTGTGTACTCGCCCGCAGTATAGCCGCGGTCTCGAGCATCTCCAGCATGAAGGTGCTCTGTCCTTGCTGCTCGCGGTCCGCGGCGCCGAGGCGCGCGCGCACGGCCCGCAGGCGCGGCCTCTAGACTGTAAGTGCCCTGTGGCACAGTGTGCGTGTGTACTCGCCCGCAGTATAGCCGCGGTCTCGAGCATCTCCAGCATGAAGGTGCTCTGTCCTTGCTGCTCGCGGTCCGCGGCGCCGAGGCGCGCGCGCACGGCCCGCAGGCGCGGCCTCTAGACTGTAAGTGCCCTGTGGCACAGTGTGCGTGTGTACTCGCCCGCAGTATAGCCGCGGTCTCGAGCATCTCCAGCATGAAGGTGCTCTGTCCTTGCTGCTCGCGGTCCGCGGCGCCGAGGCGCGCGCGCACGGCCCGCAGGCGCGGCCTCTAGACTGTAAGTGCCCTGTGGCACAGTGTGCGTGTGTACTCGCCCGCAGTATAGCCGCGGTCTCGAGCATCTCCAGCATGAAGGTGCTCTGTCCTTGCTGCTCGCGGTCCGCGGCGCCGAGGCGCGCGCGCACGGCCCGCAGGCGCGGCCTCTAGACTGTAAGTGCCCTGTGGCACAGTGTGCGTGTGTACTCGCCCGCAGTATAGCCGCGGTCTCGAGCATCTCCAGCATGAAGGTGCTCTGTCCTTGCTGCTCGCGGTCCGCGGCGCCGAGGCGCGCGCGCACGGCCCGCAGGCGCGGCCTCTAGACTGTAAGTGCCCTGTGGCACAGTGTGCGTGTGTACTCGCCCGCAGTATAGCCGCGGTCTCGAGCATCTCCAGCATGAAGGTGCTCTGTCCTTGCTGCTCGCGGTCCGCGGCGCCGAGGCGCGCGCGCACGGCCCGCAGGCGCGGCCTCTAGACTGTAAGTGCCCTGTGGCACAGTGTGCGTGTGTACTCGCCCGCAGTATAGCCGCGGTCTCGAGCATCTCCAGCATGAAGGTGCTCTGTCCTTGCTGCTCGCGGTCCGCGGCGCCGAGGCGCGCGCGCACGGCCCGCAGGCGCGGCCTCTAGACTGTAAGTGCCCTGTGGCACAGTGTGCGTGTGTACTCGCCCGCAGTATAGCCGCGGTCTCGAGCATCTCCAGCATGAAGGTGCTCTGTCCTTGCTGCTCGCGGTCCGCGGCGCCGAGGCGCGCGCGCACGGCCCGCAGGCGCGGCCTCTAGACTGTAAGTGCCCTGTGGCACAGTGTGCGTGTGTACTCGCCCGCAGTATAGCCGCGGTCTCGAGCATCTCCAGCATGAAGGTGCTCTGTCCTTGCTGCTCGCGGTCCGCGGCGCCGAGGCGCGCGCGCACGGCCCGCAGGCGCGGCCTCTAGACTGTAAGTGCCCTGTGGCACAGTGTGCGTGTGTACTCGCCCGCAGTATAGCCGCGGTCTCGAGCATCTCCAGCATGAAGGTGCTCTGTCCTTGCTGCTCGCGGTCCGCGGCGCCGAGGCGCGCGCGCACGGCCCGCAGGCGCGGCCTCTAGACTGTAAGTGCCCTGTGGCACAGTGTGCGTGTGTACTCGCCCGCAGTATAGCCGCGGTCTCGAGCATCTCCAGCATGAAGGTGCTCTGTCCTTGCTGCTCGCGGTCCGCGGCGCCGAGGCGCGCGCGCACGGCCCGCAGGCGCGGCCTCTAGACTGTAAGTGCCCTGTGGCACAGTGTGCGTGTGTACTCGCCCGCAGTATAGCCGCGGTCTCGAGCATCTCCAGCATGAAGGTGCTCTGTCCTTGCTGCTCGCGGTCCGCGGCGCCGAGGCGCGCGCGCACGGCCCGCAGGCGCGGCCTCTAGACTGTAAGTGCCCTGTGGCACAGTGTGCGTGTGTACTCGCCCGCAGTATAGCCGCGGTCTCGAGCATCTCCAGCATGAAGGTGCTCTGTCCTTGCTGCTCGCGGTCCGCGGCGCCGAGGCGCGCGCGCACGGCCCGCAGGCGCGGCCTCTAGACTGTAAGTGCCCTGTGGCACAGTGTGCGTGTGTACTCGCCCGCAGTATAGCCGCGGTCTCGAGCATCTCCAGCATGAAGGTGCTCTGTCCTTGCTGCTCGCGGTCCGCGGCGCCGAGGCGCGCGCGCACGGCCCGCAGGCGCGGCCTCTAGACTGTAAGTGCCCTGTGGCACAGTGTGCGTGTGTACTCGCCCGCAGTATAGCCGCGGTCTCGAGCATCTCCAGCATGAAGGTGCTCTGTCCTTGCTGCTCGCGGTCCGCGGCGCCGAGGCGCGCGCGCACGGCCCGCAGGCGCGGCCTCTAGACTGTAAGTGCCCTGTGGCACAGTGTGCGTGTGTACTCGCCCGCAGTATAGCCGCGGTCTCGAGCATCTCCAGCATGAAGGTGCTCTGTCCTTGCTGCTCGCGGTCCGCGGCGCCGAGGCGCGCGCGCACGGCCCGCAGGCGCGGCCTCTAGACTGTAAGTGCCCTGTGGCACAGTGTGCGTGTGTACTCGCCCGCAGTATAGCCGCGGTCTCGAGCATCTCCAGCATGAAGGTGCTCTGTCCTTGCTGCTCGCGGTCCGCGGCGCCGAGGCGCGCGCGCACGGCCCGCAGGCGCGGCCTCTAGACTGTAAGTGCCCTGTGGCACAGTGTGCGTGTGTACTCGCCCGCAGTATAGCCGCGGTCTCGAGCATCTCCAGCATGAAGGTGCTCTGTCCTTGCTGCTCGCGGTCCGCGGCGCCGAGGCGCGCGCGCACGGCCCGCAGGCGCGGCCTCTAGACTGTAAGTGCCCTGTGGCACAGTGTGCGTGTGTACTCGCCCGCAGTATAGCCGCGGTCTCGAGCATCTCCAGCATGAAGGTGCTCTGTCCTTGCTGCTCGCGGTCCGCGGCGCCGAGGCGCGCGCGCACGGCCCGCAGGCGCGGCCTCTAGACTGTAAGTGCCCTGTGGCACAGTGTGCGTGTGTACTCGCCCGCAGTATAGCCGCGGTCTCGAGCATCTCCAGCATGAAGGTGCTCTGTCCTTGCTGCTCGCGGTCCGCGGCGCCGAGGCGCGCGCGCACGGCCCGCAGGCGCGGCCTCTAGACTGTAAGTGCCCTGTGGCACAGTGTGCGTGTGTACTCGCCCGCA